GAGAGATCTTTCTTGTTGTCAAGGCCATCAACTTCAGATATGTCTGCCTACACACTGTTCATTGAGATATCTCACAGGAACAAAAGTTATTTCTATTTTCAGCCATACCTAGAAGGATGTGCATTGCAGTTAGGAGTATGTTGCAAATATAATTTGTCAAAACATGTTTCTTAATTATTATGGATAATATTTAGAAAGGGGATAGGGAGGAGACCAAAGGAAGCTCGACCAAAGGGATAGGGAGTAGGGACAGAAGGGTGGAGCGGTCCTTTGAGTTTTTGTTTGCAAACCCAGCTAGTGGCAGGACCTTGTCACAAAGTCTTGGATGTTCACCACCTACTAAGCTTCGCAAAAGGTTTCCAGTGAACATACTCTTCATTACTTTAGAGAATCTTTAATAAAGCAATACTAATCCCAGGTTAAAATTCAAGTACAGTCAAAGAGAAAAGAACCATATGGAGTTATTTGGACTCAAATAAAGCATAGAAATAGTTTAAAGACACAATCACCTGTATTCAGAACCATCAGCTAAATAAGCTCCATAACTTCCCACAGATGCAGCAACTAATATAGGCCGATGTTTGAGAACTTTACCATCAGCAGGATACTCGGTTGAGTTCTTGTGGCATCTATCATAGTATATACTCCGTGCCTCACAAGCTATTTCAACACTTCTCTTGAGCAAAACTTCACTTTCTTCTTGAGAAAATCCTCTGGCCTTGAACCCTTGGATGGTAGCCTGTTCAAATTGATTTCTCCCTGAGGTTCAACTTCTTATTCACATATTACGATACAGATAGACAGATGGCTTGACAACTAGGGGAAGGGTTTACCTGGTAAGATGCTGTAATTATTACGTCGGCACCAGCTTCTAGGTAATCAAGGTGGACCTGCTCAATAGATTTCTACTTGGTCATGCATAGACAACGATACATACCAGCAACAATAAGCGAGCAACATTGTGCTCATATGTAGATAGAAAGTAATTAATTAGTAGTTAACAATCTCAACAATAATCACATGCTGCTTGTAGAACTGCAGACATCTTATCCACTAAATGAAATCCATGATGCTTGGGAGCGAAGAGAAAAGTAAAATACACATCGGCCCAATGTTTGCTCAAACTTCTGATCAAACCCACACCAGAAAGCTTGGAAGTTGGAACAGATTAAGCGTAACCTTAGAAATTGAAAGTTTCAACTATCAATTGGCCCACAAGTCTGATCAAATTGACACCAGACAGCTGACAGTGCAATTCCACATTTTATCCAAGTACATCTTAACTATGCAAATTCTCGCACCCTAATTCTCTCCCAAACATGTCTACATCCTAACTATCCGCACACAAACTGACAGCATTTCCAGACTGCTGGCCTCCATCACACGGTTCCATTTAAAATGAAGAATCCAACCGCAGAAATAACAAAACCTCAAGCTATACGGGAAAAATATGAAGGATTCCGGAACTAAAATAATTATATGAAAATATGAAGCAAATCATCAGTCACGTGAGCGTATTTTACCGAGCGAATGAGGTGAGGGGAACTGTGGAGACATTTGGCGCTCCAGAGAGGATCGTTGAGGTCAGCGCCGTGTCGTTCGAGTTCCGTCGCCAAGCCGCCGTCAATCACCGCTACGCCGCCGGATTTACTCAGGAAATCTGAAATCAACGATGACGACGATGACCCGGGATTCTCAGCAGCGTCGTCGACAGGTCCCATTCCGTACAAACGGAGCCAAAAGATGCAGAGGTTTTTGTTCGGTTCCAAGTTCCACTATCAGAGGTACAGTGGATGGGCTTACTTAAAGGTGTAGGCGGAGGAGTACCCAGCTCCAATCCAATCTATAGATTTTGGGACAGCCCGCTCCGTGTGTGTATTTGTAGAGAAGACTGACGTGTTTTCCGCGTATTAACACACGTGCTGAACCAGGTAACTTGATTTAACTCGATTACATTTAATTAAACTTGAGTTCGAGACCAAGGTAAGCTAAAGTCGAGCTCGAATTCGAGCTCAATTTCTAAAAAGTTCAACGAGTTTAAACTCGAACTCAATTATTTTATCTTGAGTTGAGCTCGACTCAAATGCACCCTTAGCACAGAATTTTCATTCTGACCTCTCAACCTCGATACGACACACTAGGATCTATTCATTTTTGTCAACATGCTCAGCCTACTTTATAATTATGTTTGGATAGAGATTATTTGTCAAAATTTATTTGCTTGCAATTTCAATATATTTTTTAATTATTTTTTTATTTCATCTGCATTGAATAAAAAATTAGTACTATAATTTTTTTTTCAAAAATTTATCCAAAATAATCTATTATCCAAACATACCTGTTTAACTCGTAAGTCCGTGGATTTCTTGATTCATACGTTCAAGCTTTTTTCCCTTGAAAACCCAAAAAAAAAAAAAAAGAAATTTTTTTGCATATGTCCTCAAAACTTTATCACGTTGTTGACTTTCTTTAGATGAATGAAGGTGTTACCATTGGCAATGGGTCGACGACGTACGAATCCATGATCAATGTAAGTACTAATATCTTCTTTAATTGGAAAATAAACTCATTAATACTACTGCCTGCAGAAGCCATCATTATCCATTCCAACGAGTGCACACCCGGTTTTGTAAACGGTCTTAATGCGGCAAATCGTATCTCAAACTTACCTTCTTCTTGATGACAAACGTTAAAGAATTCTACGTCATTGCGGGGGGCAGAACAAATAATGCGTGCCCTAAGACTAGGCTTATACTAGAGCCAAGTTCCAGTCATTGTAATCATACGAGCAAAGCCCAAACGTTAGTGTCTTCATGCGTGGGTTGTGATCTGAGTATCCGCCTCCCTTCAATTTGGAAAGCATATATAAGCAAATTGACGCAGACTTTTCCAGGAAGAGAGGAGCATCTGTAGATCAAGATGGAATCATGATAGAGAGACTTGGTGGAAACCAGAATTAATACCTCAACACGTTTCTCAGCTCAACCGGTGTCCATTTCGTTGGAGAGCATATCTGAGGTTTCCAATTCCAGATAGATATTCAACAATGCTAATATGCATTATGATAAGAGTATTTGCGTCTGGTTGGATTTTGGAGCTCAGCCTCGAATATTTAAGAGATCTTCATGTGGCATGCCATTTAGTTTCCTATATTCCTTCAACCTTTTCTAAACTTTTTTTCTTGTGATGGTGCATCAATTAATGTCATAGATTCTTGGCAGGATGATAGGGATATAATTATGCATTTTATTTGTGGTTATTTGGTCTTAATTTTGGCAGTTTAGTATACAAAGTATTGGATTTCTGCTCATAATTAGTATTTGTGTTAATTACAGGCAATTAGTGTTGAAAGTGACGAAAGGGAGACAAAATCCAGAAGACTCTAGCCTCTAAGGCGTGGCCACGCCTTAGAAGGTAGACGAAACCGAAAGACGGACCATGATCCACGTGAACCCGAAGCACTGGATTGGAACCTTGAAACAAAAGTTGTGGGCCTCCTAACCCTTTGAAGACGACTGGCGGCTACAAAAGGCGAAAAAGACCAAAAGAAAAGGGGATTTTGACGTTTTGTGATTTGGGGAGATTAGCTCTAGTTTTCTTATTTTTGTTCCCTAGCCGTCAGACGTCGGGAGACCTTTTCGTTTTCACACTTGGTCTTGGATTTTTCTTCTCTCGGCTTTTGCTTTATCATTGTGAGTGGCTTAGCGGCCGCATTGTTTTTCACTTCGTCTTGGGTTCAGCAAAAACTTCATGAAAACTATGAATTGCTTCGTCGTTATGTGGCAAGGCTGAATCTTTTATCTAGTTGAGGAATAAATCAAGGATTGGAGCACCATAACTGTGAGATCGTTTTAATTGTTTTATTTTTGATTTATATGTTCATGGGTATTTGATTATTCTCTATTTTTCCCTGAGTTATTACTGTTTAGATTTATTGGATAATTAGGCCTGTTATTCGATTGTCTAAATAATTGATAGCCAATTAGGATGTTGGCGCGTCGCCTTTAAGTATCTTGATTAGTGGCAAACGAGACAATTTCACCGCCTCGCAAGCGGTTTAATTTGGATCGTGGGGATAATTAATCTAGCCTAAATAAACCCGCATGTGTGTTTGTCATATAGAATTGGGTCTTTCTAATTCCTAATGCTGTGGCTACATTAAATCCTGTGAGCATTCCTGGGGTTGTCTAATCACAAGAGGGTAGTTTATGAGCGTCTCTTGACTACCATAAAATTAAGGAAAGATTGGTGGTTGGGTGCGTCGCTTGACCACTATAACCAGTTTATTCGTGAGTATATGAATTGTCCCTTGTATCTGTGATCAGTTGTGCGTTTCGGTGCCAAGATTAATTCCTTGACTAGGTTGTTTTAATTAATTGTTATTTGTGTAGTTTGGTTCCTGCTATCTTAATCAACTTTAAATTTCAGTTTTTATTCCTTTTTAATTAGTTGGTACTACTGCTAAAAATTCCCCCCCATTTTCCTGTGTGATTTGCCTACCTGTTCCCTGAGGAGACGACCCTACTCACCACTATACTCATTCAGTTTTGGTAGTAGGTCTAATAAAAAATTTTATTTTTGGTGGTTTGACACCCACCACAAGACAACAGGATGCTCACTGGAGAGTGGAAAGGCAATATTAGAAAGAACTTGGGAGAGAGGAGAATCTGTGCGCTAGCAACAAGCTGCATAACTAAAGGGAAAGGGTTTTCCGTTGCCTGCGGTAGAAAAATAAACCAGGAGATGATAAACTAACGTTTTTTTGGAGCTACAAAGAGATAATTTTACTTCCTCAAAGGAAAACATACCGGAGATTCAGAGAACACTAGTCTGGTAAGGTAACAAATCTAATCTTCTGATTCTCTTAGAATTTCCCAACAGCAAAGTAGTAGTTAGTAGTGTCAGGTAACTAAGTAGTAATCTAAAATCGTTCGTTCTCTTCTTGCTCAAAAAATTAATAGTAGTACGTAGTTATCTAAGAATGTGCAATAACAGCTTAATTTCCAATGCTAACTTGCATCATATAATAATAACAATTCAACTTTTATGCTTACTGTTAAAGAAATCTAACTGACATTGTATGTACTCAGTTCTCGACTGCTGGAAAGGATGACAAAACTGGTAAAAGAATCCACAAGCTCCATCCATATCAAATAACACTACTATTATGACAACCGGTTGACCACTATATCTGCAAGTGAATGAATTTCAGGTGCAAGACTAATAAAACTAAAGTGTCTACCTACTGAAACCCTCAAGGATTCTCCAAGATAAAAACACGTTCCAAGAGGAGTATAATCTAACTATGTGTCTTCTTGTTGGTGCAGGACAGCAAAGCTAAAAAGGCAAAGCCTGCACCACAGGGATGCCTGATCTCTAGCTGAGTGCACTAGGTCAGGGACCCCGCTTCAGGCCGAAACAGAAACACCCACGAGCCTGGTCTTCAGGTATCATGCCACCCCCCTTGCTAGTATCTATGGCCTCTAACAACCTCACAACCTCATCCATCTCAGGGCGTTTATCTGGATTCGCATCCCAGCACTTTCTCATGACACTCGCTAACGCACCAGGGCAACATCTAGGAATTTCCGGTCGCAAATTCTATCAAAACAAGCAGACAAACGTTTGTCAGAATATCTAACAGGAGTATTCTAAAGGAAGAAGACAGTGTAGAGCATAAAAGAATCGCTCACTAGCACTTTTCATATTTAACACAAACCTGATTAACAACTGCAGAAGACAAGTCAGCAAAGCTCAGATTAGGATAAGGCATGTCACAGCAGTAAATTTCCCATAAGCATATGCCGAAGCTGTACACATCGCATTTCCTATTGTACGGCTTGCCATCCAGGACCTAGAAGATGGTTTTGACGTCATTAGAGATTGAGCTGCTTACTCAAAAAGGGTTTTAGTACTAAAATTATTCACCCTGCTTCCTTTAGCAATCAAGGAAGAAATCTATTTAAACAAGAGATGCATACCTCAGGGGCCATGTAACCAAGGGTACCAGTTTCTCCAGTCATGTCCCTTGGATTCTGAGCTTCAACTCGAGCAACCCCAAAATCAGCAATTTTTAAAGTCCGATTTGCGTTGAGCAACATATTTTCTGATTTAACATCACGGTGCACAATTTTTTTGGAATGAAGATAACTTAACCTGCAAAGTTGGAAAGAAAAGAAAAAAGTTAAGACCCAGATAAAGAAACACTTCATTCCAATTAGACTGTTACAGTTATACCCTGGTTGAGACCCAGATAAAGAGACACTTCATTCCAATTAGACTATTACAGTTGCGCACCAGAAAGATAGAAAAATTAATAAAATAATAAACAGCCCCCAATCAATATCAATTATATAAAACAATAGCCGTCTCACCCTCTTGAGAGATCCAAAGCAAGTTGGATCACCACCTTGAAAGCAAGCTTCTTTCTATAATTTCTGATCAAAAATCTTTTTAACGTCCCACCTGGAAGGTATTCTACAACAACACAACAAGCTCTAGATGGTAGGGAGTTATGATCATCCGCTGAGTTGCTTTTCACAGGAATCTTAAGATTTGATGTTCCCATTGAAGCTCCAACAAACTGCATGAAATATTGAGGATATCAGGACAAGGGAATTCATTACCATGTTAGGGAAAGAAATCACTCTTTAGATGCCATAAAGATGCCATCAAGAAAGAAAGAAGAATCCAAGTAAGCTTTAAATTCACCAAAAGTTTGCTAAACAAAGTCACAGTTCCGAGAGGAAATTAAAGTTTGGGAGTAAGAACAAACCTTTGTCACATTAGGATGGTCAAGTTTATGCCAAACAGCAACCTCCTTCTGAAATGAATCACGAAGAATACAAGTTTCCTCCTCTGTTGCAATACCATCCTCTCCCCAGTCCAATACCTTCACTGTTTCAATTAAAAATCACATAGTAGTGATAATTGCTAAGAGAAATAAACATCACCATAGTAATTAAGCTCTATTAGTGAATCATCATAGAAACTCGAAAACCAAACAATAACTGTGGTTTGTGAAGCTAAAACATAAACTGATGATATAGCCTTGACATGATACATCACAGGATAACTCATGAAACTGCAACGCCTATTTGCACTCATGCAATCAACAAGAATGTGCAAATTCATATTAAGAATACAATATCCAGAGTATACGTGTGTATGTGGTTACCCCCATGTATATTTGTGTTCTTTGACTATGCGGCCATGATACAATACCCTTGTGATATTATTCTTCATCTAAAGCAGGAAAAAAGCATCCGCGGTTTTATTAACAACATTACTATCTCTGTTGTTATTCATTCACCAATTCCTCCCCCCGAAGCCATTTACTTTACCTAGAAAGTGCCAAGATTTTCCTGCTTCTTTTCTGGGTAGAAATAAAACTTGTCTGGAACCATTAGTTTACCGTCTGACAACCAGAGAACAACTTGTTTAGTCTCGGGCAGTGCTTTTCTGTGGAAACTACGAATCCAAGGTTTTAGCTGTTGTCCTCAGACCATTGATTTCAAAACTACAATAACCAAGTCGTTATATTCTTTCCAAAAGAATCAAGGGATTTCGATTCTTATTGCTGTGATTTGCAGGGGTCAGGCGTTTCCTTCAGCAAACCAATGTTAAGGCATGTTAATGGGTAAAACAAGAAGCAATGTTTGAGATTGAGTGAAAAAATTGTGCAGCTTTTACCAGGTTTACAAACTTTTGGATAGATACTAAAAATTTCAGTAACTGTTTCTTCACCAACCAGCGTCAACTAACGTGGTAAAATCCATTGCTACCACCCGGGCAACAACAGTTTTTTTTTTTTTTTGTCGCAACGATAACAATTGTATAATTTACTCTAGCCTGATCTGATCTACGGGGAGGGGGAGTCGACGGGGAGCCCGGTCGAAGGAAGCCACCCCAAGGGGAGGGGGAGTCAACAGCTTTTGAGAAAGCATGCAGGACACATTCAGTGGTAGAGCAACAAGTTAACAACAGAGCTAGTGATCCAAAACCAATATTTGATTAAGTGCATGCATAGTAGCAAAACCGAATCACAACTTATTAAACCTGTCCTTATCAGTAAAGATGACAAAAGGCACCATTTAAAAAAAAAAAAAAAAAACTCAAAACTGGGCACTAACTCAAATCGTGGGGACAAAATTCATATCGGATGTCCATCCTGGTACAAGAATCCAAGAGAGAGAACGTATAGAAATTACCTGCCACATCAAGGCCATCGTAGACACCTTTATAGACGGTTCCATAAGTACCATGAGCAATAACATTCCTGATATCCAACTTAGCTAAATCTATTTGCCACTCCTCCTTCACGTGGGCTTCTCTCCCCGTCGTCGACCAACTCCGGTTTCGAGTTAGCTGCTTCTCAAATTGCACGTCCCACTTCTTGAAATCAATCATATCTGCTCTCACAAGCATATCTTTACTGCTCAAACTACCCAACCCCTTCAACTTTGATACCTCTTCTTTGCTTTCGCCATTCTTGGCCCTCTCATCAACAACTTCCCCTTCATTGCCTTCCTTCGAATCCATCCCTTAAATCCACCGAAGTAAAGCTAAATATAGGAACTTTTATTTTAAAAAAATCAAATCTAATGAGTAGTATACTCTACAATCTGCTTCAAACTTGCAGATACTCAGTTGATGCTTTTATAGGAGCGAAATTGCATGATAGATAAACAAACAAGTATCAGAAGTACTAACATCCAATTAGGAAAAGGACATCCTACCGCAAGAGAGAATACCTAAAGCAAAAGCGGGAACAGGAAAAGATTAATACTACCTATATCGGTTTATCAAGAATACTCGCACCAAAAAAAAAAAAAGGCCGAAGGAGGGGAGCCTTGAGTAACGAGGATTTGATAGGACAGCTAAAAGAAAGAAAGTGAGGCTTATGTGGAGAAAGGGACCACAAACAGTCTCGTGTATCGTCTCAAGACTCTTCAACGCGCAAAAGCGGAGTCGAGGAAGCTGAGTTTGTGGAGGAGTAGAAGTGTCCAACAAATTGAAGTTCTAATTGTTACGGCAATCTGTGAATCCATTATACATGGGTAATGTTGACGACGATTTGATGGTGGTGGGAATCTTGTGCTGTCATCTGTGCTGGGTTTCCTTGATTGACGAATTGGGCTGCTGTTCAATTGCTGCCCTTCCTGTGCTGGCAGCAACTCACTGGGCCATCCCCACACCCAACACCAGTCCAAGAGTTTTGTTAACAATTTATGATATTTGCAACTTTTGAATATTCTTGACTTAGATTGAAAGAAAAAAAAACTCACGATCACTTCGTAATTTGTCGTGTTTTAACTTTTATTTTTTATTTTTTTTTGTCGAGTTAACTTGATTAAGTTTTGGGATAATTTCAATGACCTCCACGAGGTTTCTATCTATTTCACTGATCTCACTTTAGGTTCCAAAAATCACACTAATCTTTCTTGAAATTTTTTATCTTGTAATATTTAGATCCAATTAATAATTAAAAAGTAATATTATAAGAAAGCGAATAATATGATTCTACCGTTGCCTCTCATCTTCTATGCTATTTAGCTAAACTAATATAAACCTATACATCAAAGGAAAAACACTATAATTTACTCTTTATTATCGGAGATCAAATCACATATAAAATCAAAAAATAATATATCATTTTATATGTTCCATTTAATGTAAAATTCAAATTACTCTTTTTTGTTATAGACCTATTGTCGATCATGATCAATAACAAATAATTAAAATATTTGTAATCAAAATATTATAAAGAGCGAACTTTAATACCACAAAAATCTCAATAACCGGTCTTAATATGTTAACCAGAATACTTTCTTAACCAAGGCCCAGGTAGGCGGCAAAAGATCATGGGCTGCTTTTGCAGGCCTAGAGTCTAAACTCCAACCTTGGCATGTCCAGTTAATTGCTTAATAGCCCAGAAAGAAGAGAACAGGAAATATTTATATGCGTCCTGATTGGTTGCAACTTGCAAACAGAAACTGTTAACATGGCCACTATCACACCGCATGGAAGAAAGATTACATTTACAGTACGCGGGAAGATAACTCTTAGAAATTACACAACCCTTCCTTTTCGTCTTGATGTGACCAAATTCACCCTCAGGAGTATCCAAATAACCAAATTGCCCTCGCATGGTTGTGGTCAACAACAATATTCTAAATGCGAGAAAAAGGATATGATTGCAGGTGTAATCTCTTTTTTCTGCTTCTTGGCGCCAAAATAGCTGGTGGTATAAAAGCTTCAGGCGCCAAGAACCAACTGTAGTATCATTATTGTCGCGAAAACTAAACTAGCTTTTACAAGAGAGAACTCAAGGAATCAAAGCATCTGCTGTTCGTGATCCTTCATCCGGCGAAGGATCTAGATATTAAGGTGCTTGATATATAGCTGTTTGGGCTCCATCAAAATCAATATAGGTAAAAGTTCAAAACTTACTGTGGTTTATTGAATCTAGTTAGAAGTTTTCTAAGTATAGATTGCTTATAAAAGTAGCCCAAAGAAAGGATCCTGAATTGTAGCTGTTGATTGTTCAATGGAGATGAATCTGAGGTCGCGTCAGTTGCTGACTAATCGTTTGTTTATGGAGGAATAATGTACTGTTTGGATATATGTGATGATGATCTAATGCACTTCTGGTGAGATTTTAGCAGAAATAAAGATGATTGATGATTGACTAGGGACTTGGTCAGCATAAATCTATGAGTTATTCATGTCTTATGTTAGAAACTTGTTGCCACTGAGATTTGGCTGAGAGAATGGAACTTGTCTGTTTGCTTAGCTTCATCATCATGTCTCATATTTGGACGTTTACATCTTCTGAACTATATGGCTTTGAATGATTAGATTCCGAGACCATTTGTAAACTGTGTCAGTACATTTTCTCAATTTTTAAGGCCTTTTTTTTTTTTTTTTTTTTTATTATGGGGGCTGAAACTGTTATCAAATTCATCAATCGAGGGGAGGGTAGTTTAATTTTCAATAATATCAGAGAATATTCAAGAGTGAATTGTCAAAAACATTGAGGGAGGTTTCTGAAATTATCCCGAATTTAAAACCACGTATTAACTGAGCCATGTGGCCAACATTTTCTGCATCGAGATGATAGAATTTATCTGTGGTTGTGGAAATTTGAAATCCTACAGCTACACTTCAAACGTCAATTTTTCAAACATTATTGCTCCACTTTTCTGTTTCATGATCCGTCGCAGGCTTTGGCTTGTATGTGTGCAGCCAGGAGTTGCATGCTCCAACAGCCTCTCCAACAGTCAGGAAGATCCACTCCTGCCCTATTGCCTCGATAAATTTCGCCTTGTTGAGTTTCTTCATCACCTCTGCTCCGGGATTCGCCAATGCAAGCTATGTTAATTGAAGAAAACAAACCAGCGGGATTCAAATTAGTATTAAGATGAAGGAATACTTGAAGCAAGTCATTTTTATGTCACAGTCACAGAGATTTGTTCCAACTATATGTGCACGTGAAAGGCAATTAAAGATGTACGCGAGCAAGCAAGCAAGCAAGTTCTACCTTCAGCCCTCTTCTATCGATGTTCTTCTTAACCTCTTGTAGCATACTAATCCCGCTGGTATCAACGTTTCCAACGGCTGCCCACAGAGGATTTGTGACATGATCAGTGCTTATAAATTTTAGAATATTTGGATAACGCTTTTTTGCAGGACAATTAACATTTTGTTGCAACGACTTCTACTTACCACTCATATCAAGTATAAGAAATTGCAGGTTGCTATCTCCGCTGGATTTCAATTTATCTTCCTCTTCATCGATCCATCTTGAAAGTCTATTGGCCAGACCATCGTAAAGCAACGCTAGATGGTTAGTGTCTCTAATCGAGTTTTTTTTTTTTGGAATAAATAATCCACTGAGTAGTATGTATATTACCTTTCTCGCAAGTAGCTTGAATTGGCAAAGTAAATAGGTGCATCAATTTCCAGTATGAGTAGCCCAGGGACGTTTCTGGTGTCGGGGTATTGATCCACATTACGGTAGATGTTAGTATCTGGGATGTTACCAAGAGCCAGCGTCCTTGGTCTTGCAATAAACAGCAATACCCTTAGCAAAGAGAGTGCAACCTGCAGTGCATTACGTGAACTCGAAATCAAATCGTAGCGGCCGCCGCCGATGAGAGAGTGATAAATAAAACGACGTCCACCAGAGAGAAATTTACGAGAGAGTGATTGTTTTAGCGGTACGTACCGCGATGACTAAGCCAATCTCGACGCTGCCAAAAACCACCCCAACATAGGCACTCACACACACGAAGAAGTCAAATTTGTCAACTTTCCACAGATGAATTGCTGCTTCGTAGTCTATAAGGCCGAGCATGGCGGCGATTATGATGGACGCCAGCACCACAATTGGGGTGTAATGGAAGAGTGGAGTCAGGAATAACAGTGTCAGCATCACTGCGAATGCCATAACAATGTTGGACACCGCAGTTTTGCATCCCGCGTTGAAGTTCACAGCTGATCGCGAAAATGGTCCTGAAGTTTGTTTGTGTCACCCAAAAAAAAAAATGGAGAGTCCTTAGGTGCCATCAAATAAGTAAATTTCAGGCGAGATAAACATCTGACATTTGTAAATAGAACAAGCCCTAATGCAATATTCAGTTGTCTAATAGTAGTAATTAATGCGTCCTCCTCTGCGACAGCTGCTATATAAATCATTAATAGTATTTTAACATAAATCAGTCTTTTAATCTAATTTTAAGCTTATCCCTAATTTTAGATATATTTATCCCTAAAAAGTGAACACTCTGTGCAATTTTTTACAACTGAGGCGTTTATATTGTGTTTGTAATTTTGAAAATTACAGCAATGTTTTTTTTTTAAATTACAGCCCTTTTAATCTAAGAGGGAAGGGAAGCCTAAGGAGGCTGTGGTAGGGGGCTAATGGGTATACAGACCCAACTAGACCAAGGGAGTGCTTTGGCACAGAAACCTTTAGGTGAGGTTTGAACCCTCACCTACAGTCCAAGGAGGGACTTAAACCACTCCCTGGTGGCCACTGAGCCATTGGCCAGTGGTTGAAAATTACAGAAATGTTGAGTTGTGTGATTAATGTGTCCTTCCGTGAGACAGCCGCATAATTATTATTTGGTCCATACAAATTATGCTATGGATTTGACAAGGATATATGGTGAAAAATGTTGCTTATTATTTTTTTTTTTGGTAGGACTAAAAAGAAGTGCAGAATGGCGTATACAATTGGTTAATATCCTGCTGTATAATTATAAAAATGGTGGGTGGCGAGTGATCAATACCGGTAGTTAGATAACAAGAAGTGCAGGAGCCCACAATGTTCATCATCCCAAAAGCAATCATCTCTTTGTTTCCATCGATATTGTAATTCTTGAACATGGCGAAGCTTCTTCCGACCGCAATTCCTTCCTGTACCCAGAAATAAACGACCAATCAGGCTGCAATTTAAACATTATCAGGATAAGCTTATCTGTCACACATTCCAGTGAAAATTAAAAGGTCCACCCTGCCAGCTTCTTCCAGGTTCAGGTAGAATTTAGTTCTCCCTATGACGTCCCATCGTCGACTAGCTAGCTTCCCTCTTTACGAAAAGATTTATGATTGGGCCAGTGGTGCATGCTCTAATTCCTTTTCTACAAGTGAGTGAGTGAGGATCTGACTTTAATTAATCAATTGAAAAATGACGTACAGCCAATCTCGTAAATTTTTAGATATCCAAATTTCACTTGCGTTGAAGTTTTCAAGGCAAAATTTAGACCAAATGATTTACAAAACCTAGTTCTACTCAAGTTTTTGCTGACTATCTAACTGTAACATATTGCCTTGATGTAAATGTTCGAATTGGATGGAATAATATAGTTAGGCAAGTATCCTTTCAGAAGGGAAAATAAAAAGAAAAAAAAAAAGTTAGGCAAGCGGGGAAGGAAGCTTACAGCAAGAGCGATGACACCCGTGACTATGCCAGTTTTGATTGCTGTCGACAAAAATGGTGATCCAAACGCCAGGTCCATTATCGAAGGCGGATTTAATCCTTTCTTCAAGTGTCCTATCTGTGTATACATAAATGCATACTTCTAATATATACCGTAAACTCAGAAACAGCTTATCGAACTTTTCACGCAGAATAATTACGACAAAGTGAACAAATT